ACATTTTACTTTTTGGAGGAAAAATTATGATATATTCCTAGTTTATGGTGACAACAGTTAAGATAAATTTCAGATGGATCAGAGTTGAGATGTGTAATGGGATGGCAGTTAGAGTCACACTATTAGATGTGCAGAGAAAATGGAGGTTTTTTGTTTTGTCTTAAACTGATCCAGAGTTAAAAAAAAACTCCTTCCCTGTGGCAGGTGCATTAACTCTAAACTCTGCGTCATGTGGGAATGGAGAGAGATTCAGGAGTGCAGATTATTTCCATCGTATCATATCACTCTTCTAGTGACCTCCAGCACAGTAAATGGGGACCAGCCACTGGCCGGTGTGGCTCAGTCGGTTGGGTGCTGTCCCATGCCCTTACAGGTTGCCCATTCGATTCCTGGTCAGGGCACCTGCCCAGGTTTTAGGCTCAGTCCCCAGTAGGGGGTGTGCAGGAGGCAGACAGTTGATGTTTTGCTCTCACATCGATGTCTCTCTGTCCCTGCTCCCTTCCTCTCTCTCTAAAAATAAATTTTTTAAATATTTTTTAAAATATATTTTTATTGATTTCAGTTTTCATCTTAACTTCTTTATCACAACCATCATCTTACCACTACCAAATCTAGAAGGGAGAAATTGGGACATTTACAATCGTTCTCCTCCTCCTCCCTGGTTTCTGTAATCCTCAAATGCTTAAAGGGACAGACTTTCCCTCTTCCTTCTTTCTGTGTGGACCCTTGACATAAACCCCTGTGATCAGGAGCCTGGCCTCTGGATATATTGAGAATGGGAAGAATTCACTTGATCTCCAAGTAACAGTGTAGGAATTAAACCATCAAGGAAAATACTGAATAAATTGACATAGATAAAAATGCTTACTCCTGAAGAAATTGAAAAAGATTTAGTTGAATCAGTATAAATTGAAGATAGTATTTATAACAAATACGATTTATTAATCTGATAAATATATAAATCATAGTAATTATTGATGTCTTAAAACAGACACCAACTAGCCTCTCTTACTACATAAAGAAATAACTGAATGCAAGGGGAGAAGTATGTGTAAGGGTTTTGTTGAATCTTAATTGATTTTTATAAAAATACTTTTATTGATTTCAGAGAGGAAGGGAGAGGGAGAGATAAAAACACCAATGATGAGAAAGAATCATTGATCAGCTGCCTCCTCACATCCTACACTTGGGATCAAGCTCACAACCCAGACATATACCCTGACCAGGAATTGAACCGTGACCTCCTGGTTCATGGATTTACATTCAACTACTGAGCCTCACCAGCCGGGCTCTTAATTAATTTTTAACACAATACTGGATTATATACATATTGTGCTCACAGGTAATATAAATTTTTAACATGTACATAGTGTGGAAAAAGGAATGAAAGGAATTGGCTAAAACATTATTCTGGTTTTCTTTCAGCAGAGAGAGAATAGATAATTTTGCTTTTCCTCGTTTTCCAAAATCTCTATAATCAGATTATCTTTTACAGTGAGCAAGTAAAAAAGATACTGGTCTCAATGTTAATCTCCTAGTGTAGTGATTTTATCTCATTACACATACAAACTAATTAGTAAATTTCTGCAACACACCAAAAAGTTTACTTTATACTGATCTGACAAAAAAAATGGGTATAATTTTGACTGACTTACAAAAAAATAGTAATAATAATAATTACCTACCCTTTTTGTTCCAAAGTGACTTTTAAAAAAATTAAGTGCCTATACTTTTACATAAGGATTTCTAGGCACAACCTTATTATGCAACGTGATAAATAGGATGCAACTCTGTTATGTGACATATATTTATGGCTCAAGACAGGGCATGCACACCACATGGCTGTTGTTAATTTGACAGTCTAAGAGAAAAGAGGTCAGTGCCCCTGCCAAATAAGTAGTATTGTATGTTTTACAAATTCTTGTGGCGTACCGTGGCACACTGGTTGAAAATCGCTGTCTTAGTGATTATCATTTGGATAGATTTTGGATAGAAGATAATATACATAAAAAGTCATTTTTTGTTTTCCTTTACTTAAAATAATCTAATTCTTCTCTTTCATTTTTATTTTTTGTTTTAGGAGGCTATCATACAAATAATGAAGATGAGAAAGAAAATTAGTAATGCTCAGCTGCAGACTGAATTAGTAGAAATTTTGAAAAACATGTTCTTGCCACAAAAGAAAATGATAAAAGAGCAAATAGAATGGCTAATAGAGCACAAATACATCAGAAGAGATGAATCTGATATCAACACTTTCATTTATATGGCATAATTTTGAACATCATGGACAACATTAAGAACTCAAATTTTGGAGTGCTTGGGCAGAAAGTTGCAACAGTTTGTGCTGAAGGTTTATTTGGACTTTGATTACATAAATATTAAAATCTCTGCCTTACCTAACAAAACAACTATATTTTGCCAACCACATTAGTTAGCATGATGGCATTCCCTTCATGTCACACACTCTTTAACAGCATGCTCTTTTGTGGGAGACACTTGCATTCATGAAGAGCCCTTTATGAACTTTTAAAAGGAAATTTGACTTATACCCACCAGAAGAAATACAGTTGGGAAGGGTGAGGGTGGGATTCTTACTGCTTTTTTTCTCCTTTTTCCTCTCTTACAAAAATGTACTTGCACAAGGAAGGATCTTCAGATATTTGTGCACTGAAAATTACTGTTATGTGTTGTTTTTAAAATGCAATTAAAACTAGAAATAGCACTCTTGGTTTCTTTTGGTCAAAAGAGTGAGCTGGTCTACACACCATTGGGAGAGGGCAGATGTAGGTGAGGAGATAAGTATTTAATAAGTATCAAATTATTTGTTCAAACACTGCTTCAGTATAATAACTGGATTTTAATGGTGACCTAAGAATGGTATTAAATTTTTCCAACTTACAAATGCTGGCTTTCTTTAATCAAGAGACTGCTGTTTTAGTTGTTTGTTTTTTAATGATAAGGAGTATTTTTTATTTTATATGGCTGGAGAGCTTGTTTTGGAAAAGTGAAGCTTATATTGTTTCTTCAATTGTTTGAAACATGTATGGAGATAGGTTGGTCATTTTGATTGCAAAGTCAAAATAGCAAAGTTAAGTGTGTTTTTTCTAATACACTTAATATATCTATACCTAATATTTGTTCTGCCATTATCCAAATTCATTAAAAACAAGGCAGAAACCTCCTGCTCTCATATAATGCAGTTATATAATTGATCCCTTAATCTGTAGCATAGAAATATGTTGGTATTTTAGTCTCTTGATTAGGGATGTATAGCCTCAGGTTTCCTGATAGGAAGACATTCTGCTTTAAACAAGTAATAAGTACCAGTTACCTACGAGGAAGAGAGAAACCACAACATAGGAAAGACCTGAAAAGCATAAGTAAAAGTGTTGCAATCTTAACATGAACAGTAAACTTGCCAAATACATGTACATATATATTTATATATTTGAAAAATAAACATTTTTTAAATGTTCAGAAGGCAACTCTTACCTTGTTCCTCTTAGTCAATCCAAAGTAGCAACTTACAAGTTGCTGGTAACTGAATATCCAGAGGAGTGAAGATTTCCTACTTGAGGACATGAGCAACTTAGAGGAGAACTCCCCATTGGGAAAGTATGGCTCAACGTGGATTTTTATTCATTATGATACACGTTTCAGATTTTCTTGCAAATTGTTTTACTTCTTGTTTGATATTGAGTAAAATTTTTAACATGCGATTTTGAAGTCAGTCCGATAGGGTGTGCTGGAGCATTGAAGGCTCACAGCATTATCACAGAGTGACTACTGGAGCACTTCACGGAATCTGCCCAACCCCAAGAGGCTTTGCGAGCTGCCTGATAAAGGAAAGCTGATTTAAAACACTTACGGTTTTGCTGATTATAGTCAAATGCCTGTTCTGAAACTCATAGGAAATTGGAATTTTGTTTCTAATTTTAAATCTTACACATGAGTTCTAAGATATCATATGTCAATTATTAGACCAAGTCTATTGTGAAGAATTAATTTAGTGCTCATCATTTTCTCTAATTAAATGACTGCAAACAATGGTTGAATTCTTTAAGGATTGTAATAAATGTGGTCCTTATGTTTAGCAAATAGTTTGCTCTTGGCATATTTGCTTATCCAATACAAGAATGCCAAAGGAAGGAAATATTACAGGCCATTTTTCAAAGTCGAAGATTTATTGTTTTAAATTATAATTGTTCTCAGAACTTTTTTGTAACTTCTAATCATTTTGGTGATTTAATTTAAGAGTGAGAGCCATGATGTTTTGATTTAATAAAGGCAAATTTAATGCAAATGTGGGTAACTCATAGCAAACTTTTCTATTAAATTTTATAAATTTTTAATAGCTAATTATGTCCTAACTGTATTTTGGGGAATAGAACAGCAGTAAATACTGTAGACTCACAGCTTTCATCATTTTTTTTTGTTATGTATACAAAAGTTTAACTACTTTTTGGTATTTATGAAAACCATTCAGTTGACAAGGTGCCTATACCATTACTGAATTTTCTTTAAATACGTTTTGACGATAGATTTGCTAATTTAAATAAAAAGAATCTGAAGAAAAAGAACAATTTACCAGCAATTTGCTAAATACATAATCACAGTTGTATCTTTATCAGGTCCCTTTTCTATAATGTGCACTTAAAATTAGTGCTCTC